GCCACTCCAGGCTGGCAGCAAACCCCCTCGGTACCCATAATTTATTAAAGCCTGCACCAGAGTGCTCTCCATGCACACAATTGAAATTTAAGCAGCAACAGCAGCAGACGCAGCACAGGCCAAAAACTAACTTGCAGAAAATGTGAAACAATTGCTCGGGGTTCAGTTCGGCTCCTCCAGAGTTCGATCGGACCAAGTAAAAATGGTAATCGAAATATGCAGCAGGCCAAGGAAGCGCAGCAAAAAAGAACCTCGAACCAGACCAAGGAATTGTTCTTGCTGTATTCCTTACCAATTTTATTCTTCTTTTTTCTTTAGTTTCTTTCCTTTTTGCTGGCAAAGTTCGTACAACTTTTTGGGCTGGAAAATAATTCATGAAACATGGCGGCGGCAACATGCGAACGCGAAACGCGAATGTGAAACGGGAAACGCAAACGTGAACTCGAAATTTTTGTGCCCAATCCGAATCTGATTGTGACAGAAACGAATTGTTCTGGCTGCCGGTGGCTACACTCAAAAAAATTGCTATACATTTTTGTAAATCGCCGTGGCGATTTCCTCACCTAATTATTAAAAAAAAAGGCTTTCTAATAACAAGGATTTGTATTCCTAAATTTCATGTTGTATTTTTAAAAAATGTTGAAAGTATATGTATAATTTCCAGGATGTTGTTTTTTTATGTGTATACCACATAACTTTTATATTAGCTTTTTTTTTATTAATATTATTAATAAATATTTGTCTTTTAAGACTTAACATATTTTGTATAATTTTATAAATTAGTAGAGACTACGCGGTCAGGCAGATGACAACTTAGCTCCTATATAAAAATCTAGCCGATACATTTAATTATTTGTTTCTGAATATTATAATGGATTTTCTTATCATTAGGCTTTACATTTTTGCTTTTTCGAAATGCATTTCTTAAAAATAAATAATATTTCTAATAATTTAAAAAATCCCCAATTTTTTGGGATTTTTTGAATAGGGAAAGCCTAATTCTAATTTCAGTTTTGGGTCAATTTACTAAAATTTAGATCGTTTTATTTTTCCGAGTGTAGTTGCTAGCAGCTTTGGGGGTCTTTCGTATATTTATGTGCCTAATATTTTTTTTACGTCTGTTGATTTTTTTCTTCTGCTTTCCATGTAGAGCCAGTGTTGTCGTCTCGTTGCGCAGCTCCTCCCCCGCAGTTGGCATGCAAATTTATGGTGTGTCCCGAAACAATTGTTATTGTGTGTTTTTCAACTTTTGCTTGATTTGTGTTTTTAAGTGATTTCGAATGGGTCGCATGGGGCCGGGATAATCGGGCCGCGGACGACTATTTATGTTCTGTGTTCTGTGTGTGTTTTGTGTGTTGGCCAGCTGGCGTTGATAACTTCTAGCTTGTCATCAGCCAAGCTCGGGCTAGATCCATGGCTATATGCAGAACTACTTACTAAGCGGCCAACAAATATGAAACACTCGAGAGTTCCAAGGAGAGACCACCCACAAACAAGTTGCAATTTTCGTTCTGTATTTATTTTATTTGTATTTCCGCGACTGCCACAAAACTTTTGACTGCTGCATTTGCTGCAACTGCAACTGTGCAACTGCCATTGTTGCTGCAGCTACCGCTGGCAGTAGGCCACTTCCTGCAGACGGGGTAACTTCTGCATGCAGCTCGTGAATTTTTGAAAACATTTCTTTTACTTTTGCTTTTGCCTTTCTCCCTTCTGCTTGCAATATGCAAACGGTCATTTCGTTAATGAGCGCAGGGCAGAGCGAGTTGCAACAGCATGAAGCAAAGAGACAGCTACAACTTTTTCGGAGCATCCGCCGGATGAGGCAGTGGCAAGCGAACAGCTTGCAACGCTCGTCGCACATCCTACAGAGATGGACAGCAGCCGAGCAAGCGAAGCGCCAACTCTGCACTCAAAAAAATAATCGCCTTATTATGCAGAAAATAAATGTTGTAAAATTAGAAGTTGAGGCTTTCTGGAAAACAAGATTTTTGTTCTTTAATTTCAGCGAAATTTTCTAAAATTAACAAAAAAGTATGTTTTAATTTTCAGCTCGTTGATTTCTATGTATTGGCATTTATTTGTCACTTTATAATTCTTAGAAATTCTTTTCCTTGTTCTTAGAAATTATTTTTAAAGCACAAAAAGCTTTCTACTTATTAGGCCGATTTGCCTTTTAAGGCAATTTTAATTTCAAGGTGATTTTATTTTCTCAGTGTGGCCAGCAAAAACTCTTCATCTGACTGGTTTGCTAGCTGTATGTATGTCTGTCTGTCTGTCTGTCTGCCTGTCTGCCTGTCTCTCCACCGATCTATATGCTTGGCTGAGTGACTTGGTTTATTTCTACGTAATGAAATGAAATTGAAATGAATGTTTTATAGACCGTTGTCCAGTTAGAATCTGTCTGGATTATTTCTCCTCTTATAACTGTGTCGGCCCTTATATTATTATAATCTTTCTGTGGTTGTAGCAACCGCATGTTGCAAAAAAAATGCAGCAAATGAATTTATCTTAAAGTTAACCAAATCATACAGTTGCGAAAAAAATAATAGCAAAATACGCATTCTTTATACAAATTGTTTATTTATTTCTTATTTTCTTAATTATAAGTGCATATTTGAAAAATGATGCTATTATGTTTTCAATAATTTTCGCATCATAAAAATTATTTTTTTATATATTGTATTATAAAACTTATTTTTTTGGTGCAATCATTTGAATTTACAATTTAAAATGGTCGACACTGAGAATTTTAAACAAAGTAAATTTAGCTGTAATTTGAGATACGCTCATTAAATTTCTTAAATAAAATTAAAATGTGATTAATTATTATTTATTTGTTTTTAGCTAACCATTTACTCTGAATATCTTTTCTAAAAATAGCAACTACAATGTCTTATCCCTTTTTAAAACTCATCTTTAATTTGTTAGCGCAATATTTTTCTTTCTCAAATAACAGCTGCAACTAATGCGAAAAGCGTTTCACATCTTTCAAAAAATGTCTATTCGATTAGATTAGCCTATTCAAGTTAACCAAATCTATGAATACTAAAATACTTAGGATGTTTCCATAGCTCTTATGATTATTCAATTGTCGATTATTTTAATAATTTGAAGTGAGTTCAAATATATATTTTCATTTATTCTGTGCACAATTCACTGTAATTAATCAAAAATTTATAAACATTCTTGTAAAATTTGACATAACATTTGTGCTCAATTGCGCGTGATATTTAGATGGCCTGGTCGAGTATTCAATAGTCAAAGCCTTGGCCAGAAGCAGTCGCTTGCTTTATAGAAGTTTGTGTGTATTTTTCTGAACGTTGTTTGTTTGCTGTAAATTTTAATTAAATTTCGTTTAATATTGTTGGTGCTTTTGCTGTTGCTGCTGCCATTTTGTGGCATGTGCCCATTAAGCATTCTGCGGATTGTCGTCGCGGTTCTCGTAAGCCCAGAATTTATGAAATTCAATTAATATGGATACCACAGTCTCGGCCTGACGGCTGCACATTATTAAGGCATGCAATGAACGTTACCGGTTAAACTGGATACTTTCTTTGTGAAACACAAGAAAAAATAAAATTATAAAATTATGCGTACCAGGTGCTCAGATCTTGAAGTGTTATCTTGCACGGATCCTCGGGCTTAACCATGTCAAATATTTGATTGTTGATGTCTTCATACCTGATGGGCTCCACATTAGACTCCACTACCTGCTCCTGCAACCCCTTAAAGAAATAATGCAGTCTCTGAGTCGTCAAATATCCAGTCTGGTGCCCGTCTAGCATACGAAACAGGAAATGAAGCGATGGCGATGACTGCGTTTCGAAAAGGTGGTGCATGATTAGGAAAGAAGACAAAAAATAAGCAATTTGTAAAGAATTAAAAGAACCCAAGAGCTGCTTTTTCTGTATAAAGCTTTAAAATAGTAAACGCTAACATTGTTAAGACTTTCAGCGACTTTGAAGTTTTTGTTTCAAATACAAAACAAAAGTGCAATGCCATCCAACTACAAAGTTGACGTAACAGATAATATCTTTAAAACCGCTTGAAAGAATTAGCACAGAAAATCACCTTCAAACCAAAATTGCCATGAACATTAGAAAGTTGTTATTTTTCGAAACAAAATCTAAGTGTAAGGAAAAAAAATGTCGGTCAATTAAAAAACTTGAATTCGTGCAGGAGCTGGGGTTGATGGAACATATATTCCAAGACTAATAATAATAATAATAAAAAAAGCGGGCTATTAACCGAAAATCACAAAAATATATATATTTTTTAAATATTTTTAGAAATATTTTGTAATATTATCATTATGATTATTGTAATAATTATATAAAGTATCTAAAATTATTGAATATGTGAAATCTTAATATAAGATATGTTTAATAAATAATATAAATAATAAAATATGTATGAAAAACAACCTGAAAAGTTGACATATAGTTACATTACTAACTAAAAACTAACCAGAATACGTATACGACCCGTGCGTATCCCTGACCAATCTCATCGTTGAAACTGAGTCTGATGCGATATTGAGTTAACAAAACTTTTCGCATTGTGTAATTTAAAATTGAGGCAATCTCCACACTGCCCATATATTCTGATTCACTCAGCAGCTGAGCAAACAGGTTAGCCGTAAGATATTTCCTGCATTTTTGGCCAATTACTGATTGCAATTTGCAATAGTCATCGTTGCTGATTAGTTGCTCTTTTTCGGTTGTGGTTTTACTGGTGTGATCCTTTAGTTTAGTCCACAATTCACTAAGGTCATTGTTGGTCAACAGCTCCTCGGATTTCTGATGCAGCAACAGCAAATTATATGTATATTTATATAATATTTGGTTTTTGCCATAAGTGGCATTGATGTACTTGGGAGAGTTTCTTGTGTTGAAGTTTCAGTCGTATTATTTTTTGGTTTAGTCAATGAACATATGTATATAAGTTTTCAATAATAATAACAATAATAAATAATTAATTTTTTTTTATATTTGTAGGTTCGACCATCAAAGGTGTCGTTGCCATTTTGAATTGCATTTTGGCGCGTCAATTATGCTTCGAGGATCCCTCATGTTCGGCAATATTGGAAATTATTCCCCGTGTGTGTGGACCCATACCAGGTATGCATGTGTACTCAGTGAATTTAGTGGTAAGCGTTGTGTTCCCCTTTCAACTTTGCCAATAATTTGATTGGTCTGCGAGCAAAATAAATAAATGAACGAATGTACATAAGCCACGTATTTTGGTAGTGGAAGCATTTGGCTTGTAAGCCAGACCGCGCTTCAGGCGCAGCTGAGGGGCCATTTGAGAATTTATTTTATTTAGTTGTTGCACTTAGAAAAGAGATCGCTTTGAAACGTAGAAAATTGGTCTAAAAACTAAATGGTTTTGAGAAGTAACTTTTAAAACAGCTTGCCCTAAATCGACAAGTCCAAAAATTGGGCGATTTTTTCTAATTTTCAGTTTTTATAAAAATATTCTTTTGTTAATAAGAGCATATAAAGCCGAAATGCAAGTCTGGATTCTTAGAAAAAAACTCGCGAAAAGTCAGAAATTTTCGGCTCCAAGTACATGTAAAATCGTAAGTTCTGAGATATTAAATAAAATACATTTTATAAACTATAAAAAATGTTTGTATATGTATAAGTAGTATAGGTAGCAAACGAGCTAATATAATATTTCTTCTATTTACACATTTAAAAAACCAGAAAATTAGACGAATTTTTTAATATTAGGAAAATTCACCCAAATTACTGCAAATTAAGAAATGCCAGCTCTACGTTTTAGAAAACTTAGGTCGATTTTTTTCTGAGTGTGGTTGGTGCTTTTCGTGGTTGTTATTTGCCCACTGGCCGTTGAGGACCGTGTGTTGTGCCGACAACTGTGTAATTATTTTAACAATTTTTTTGTGTGCGCCCGCGTGCTATAAAACATTAAATAACGGTCATATGCTTAAAGCGCAGCATAACAAAAACAACAGCAACAAAAAAAAAAAACAACAGGAATGAAACACCATTTGAATATTCAAATGCCCCTGAGAGCTGACCCAGCCGACTCAGGCGACTGGCCAACTGCCATTGTGGTTGCTGATGGTGGTGCCGTGGGTGCGTGCCAGTCGCACCACTATAAGCAAACACATACACAATCCCATATAGTGGGATGTAAGAAAAAGCAAGACCAAGCAAGAATACTGCATTCGAGTGAGCTCGACTACGATATACCCTGTATCCAGATTCATGCGCTGAATGAAAATGGTCAGTTGATCAATAATAAATAAATACATATTATGTATTTATTAGAAGCCTTGGCCTTAAGCATTTTTTGGTTTTTTACTATCGGATAGCGATGTGTATCGATATTTGCGAAACGAATGCAATTTTCGATTCAAATTAAATAAACTTAATTTGCGCGGGGTGTTTATTTTATTTATTTATTGTCCACAAAGTTCATCTAAATTGAATATTAAATTTAAATAAAAAAATTAAATATTCATAAGACTTACGGGAATCTATATTTCAAATTGAATTCTAGCTTTTATATTCTCTTAATTCCGACGAACACGGCTATATCGACTCTGTTGACGGCTGTTGTTTTTGATTAAGTTGTTGAAAACGGTGAAATAAATTATGGTTTCTCTTCTCACTTTTCGTAACTTTTCGCACATTTAAATAGATTTTAAGTTCCAATAGCTTCATTTTTTAATTAATGAAATATTTTTTTGGAAATTAGAAATAAATAAACGACTTATATAAATAGTGCGGAAGTGGTGCTATTATTTTGTTCGCTAGTTTTTGGCACTTCTTCCTGCAAATATTTATGTATTTATACTTTCTTCATTTTCAATGGTTGTAGGGTATAAAAAAATTAATAACAAAGCAAATGGTATGCTGGACTCGTATATCCCCCATTCTCATTGCCAGCATTGTCGTCGCGCACAAAAGCGAGGCAAAGAAAAAGTTAATTTATAAATTATTCAGTAATTTGTTTGAGACTTTGCTTTGTCGAACACCACTCCGCCAGCCCCACACAAGAAGCACAACAAACAAGGCTTGTAGCTGTAGGTATACATTTCATATGTATGTGGGTTTCACTTTGATCCGCCTCCAATCCACCACCCAAACCCCCATCTCCAACCACTCATCCCCAAACCGAGCCGAACTGAGCCATTCAAATGAGTATTTAAGTTCAGTTTGCCATGCACTATTCCATCCCCAACACTATTGAGGTTAAGGGTGGTAGAATGGGGTGGGGATGGTGATCTAGAGAGGTTGGCGTGGCATTGGGGCAGGTTGTTACTTAGTCGTGGGCCTTGTTTGTCCGTGCATAAGACTTTCTGTTCTCTGCTCTACAATTTAATTATTAATGCTCAAGTCAGCCAATGTCTAGCTTTTATTTTCTTCTTCTCGTCTGAATTTTTTTTTTCAAGTGTAGGTGTGTGTGTATGGGAATTTCTTTTGTGCTGTCACGTGTAAAAAATTCGCATTTAAGACGCTGGCATTAACCGATTTAGTTGAAACTTTTTAGTTGGTTTTTCTTTTTTTTTTAGCTGTCTCAACTTTGGATGAGAAGTGTTGTTGTACTCTGTTGCCGAAGGCATAAATGAGTATATTGATTTTGTGCAACGTTCGTAACTCATTTACTAGTCTGTGCCCGCGTCAATGCATCAAAATTAGGGTGCATACCCACTAGAAGACTAGGAAATCGAATATTATCGATAAGACCGCATATCTTCCACAATATTTAAGATAGTCACAAAAGTTGGAAGGTAACCTTCTTCAAATATAGGTATAGTAATTTACAAACCAGACCACGTCCAGGACCCCTAACAAGTTTGCCTCCAATAAATAAAAATGATAAATATAATAATATAAAACTAATAATTTCGGCGCTATACCCAGCCTATTCTGTGGCACCTGTTATCAGCTGATATTACTTATTGGTACAGAGTATTTCTAATATTCTCTCCGGTTTTAATTTGTTTTTTAAATTTTTTTTTTAGCTGCCTTTTTCTATATTTATGTTTAATTCTGTGGCTTGGACCATTCAACGCTGAGTATTAAATGATCGTAACCATGTCCGTTGAGCACCTCAACGGCCTCGGCGGCATCCTTGCGATATTTGAAGTGCACATAAGCGAATCCCTTGCACAGACCCGAGGTCTTTTCCCGTGCCAAATACATTTTGGTAAAGGGACCAATTTTCTTGACCAACTCCTCGAGATCATCCTCGGTCATGGACTCGGATAAATTTGAAATGCGCACAGCACAGGAATCATCACGTTCGCGTCCCTTAGCGCCATCCTTGAGAAATGGTGGTACATATTTGCCAGACTTATTGGTGTCCCCAACGGCAGCAGCTGTGGCAGCTGCAATTGCTTTGCTCTCAATGTCCATGGATGTGCCTTTGTACGGACACTTGACAGACCAATGATCTCCATTGCATATCCGACACTTGGCCATCGGTTTATTGCCATCCAAATGATCGTGGGCATGCTCAAAGTCCTTGGAGCCAATGTAATTCATGAGGATGTCATCGGCCACTTTGGTCGTGTAGGAATTGGGACCGGGCATATCCTGCCGGGAATCTCCAAATTTAGTCCAAGTGCGTCGCTTGGCCACCGCCCGAGAGACGATCTTCCTCTCCACCTTAAAACTGCGCACCACTTTGATCTTTTTCCCCTCATCGTTGAATTTGTATTGGGTGATGTGTTTGTAATCCCCATCGATGATCTCCTTGGATGGCGGCAATCCATCCACATAGTCGGCGTTCACCTCATCGGCCCAGGATGTCGTTGCTGGTTTCATCGTACACCTGTTTTACTTGCTTTTATATTGACGAAGCTTATCAATTGATTTACTTATGCTACTTACCTACAAGCTTTTTTTTTAATTTCGGATTTTCAAACTGTCTACGGGTTCAGCGTAGTTAGTGAACACAATTTTGAAACGTTGAGAATTTATTTCGTCTGCTACTCTGATGATGCTTAAAAATTGTATATTTGCTTCGAAATATCTTAATACATTTGTTTAAAATATCGATATTAGAGATTTCGAATAATTGTTTATTCACTATTTCATTATTTAATGTTAATAAAAATCCGTGAGCCCAATCAGATGAAAAACAAAATAGTTGTAATACTATTTCTCCATTAATCTACTATTCCAAACATCAAAACATTTTGCTCAAGCTTAACTTTAAATATTCATATGTCTCCTGAATATTTTAATCTATATTTAAACATTTAAATTCCATTACCTACCTTATACATGTTAAGATAAATCTCAACTCATAATTCTTCAATCAAAAAAAAAAAAACAATAAAATAATCTAAAAATATTCTTCTAATAATAATATAGCTGAAGGCCAGATGGCCATGCTGTAGACCACCACTTAAGCTAGATTCTTCAGATTATAATAATAAATAATTAATAAAATTAAAACGGCTTGCTATTTATCTAAAATCTCAAATATAAGGAGTTTGTTTATTCATATAAATATTTTCTATCATTAATAAATTCATTTCTAAATAAAGTAGAAATTCAAACCCATATTTTTCGATAAAAACCTATCTAATATTCAGAAACAAGTAATGAAATTTACTGTCCCTTTTATATTCGAGTTTAATTTGAATCGCGAAATTAATTTATATAAATTTATAAGTTATTTCAAATATTTGTATATGTGAAATCTGAAAATAATAATACTAATATTCATATCGAAATGTTTTTCTGAGTGCAGTCTCCTATCAAAGCCGCTCTGAGCACTTGATTATAGAAGTAAATAAAAATGTGTCACAAACTGTTCCCATTATTGCTTATTACTGATAAGAACATGCGATGAGGTATAGAAGCGATAAGCGGTCTCGCTTTCAGTTAAGCTGGTGACTTCGTCAGAGATTAATCTAGAAAACAGAATAGAAATGTTCCACTTGAAGCATGGGAAGACAGGCCAAAGTCTGGAGGTAAATGAGTTCTGGCTAAGGGATCATTGCCGTTGCGTGGAATGCCTCAACACGGAGACCAAACAGCGAAGATATGATCTCCTGGACATACCAGCGGATGTTCATGCAGTAAAAACAAGTTGGGCAACAGATGAGCAGCTTGTTGTTGAATGTAAGTAAAAATGGAGAAAATATTTATTTATAGAAAAGATTTATAAGCCATGCCCAAAAAGGGAGCGATGGACATCATTCAAACTACGACTGGAGTTTTATAAATGCCTCGCAGTTGGATCACTTGGGAAGCAAAGTGCGTGCAAAGTCTACTAAATTGACAGCCTGGAATCGTGAAATTGTGCTGCAACATGAGAAACAGTTGCGTTTTCCTTTCTCTGGCTTAATCTCCCAAGATGAGGAGGTGAAGCGGCTGATTGCATCTCTGGTGCATTATGGCATTGTCTTCATCGATGGAGTGACTCCAACTCCAACCGCAACCGAGTTGGCTTTGCGTCGTTGCTTTCCGCTGATGAAGACCTTCTTTGGCGAGCTGTGGACATTCTCTGATCAGCTAGATCATGCGGATACGGCGTATACCAAGCTCTACCTGGGATCCCACACAGATAACACTTATTTCTGTGATGCAGCCGGTTTGCAGGCGCTGCACTGCATCGAACACTCCGCAGATGGTACCGGCGGCGAGAATTTCTTTGTCGATGGTCTGCATGTGGTAAACGAACTGAGGCGCCTCCATCCTGAGGCTTATGAGCTGCTCTGCCGTGTACAAGTTCCTGCTGAGTATGTTGAGCCGGATGAACATCATCGTCATACGGCGCCAATTATACGCATCGATCCACTTACCGGTGAGCTGGTTCAGCTGCGTCTCAATATCTACGATCGTGCAACATTCAACACGTTGCCCCAATCCGAGATGGCCAACTTCTATGCGAGTCTGCGCCAACTGTTGCAACTGGTGCGTGATAAGCAGCAGCAGTGGCGCCTCAAGCTGAAGCCGGGCAGCATTGTCATCTTTGACAACTGGCGTGTGCTGCATGGGCGCCATGCCTACACGGGGCGACGCACAATGAGCGGTGCGTACGTGCAACGCACAGACTTCCACAGCAAGGCACGTACACTTGGGATCATCGAGTAGCAGCATCTACACTCGGAAAATAATCTATCTCAATTTTAGAAAATATCCTTAAAACCCAGAACTTTTTGTGTTTAGAAATAATTTCTACATGCAAGAAAACATTTTTCGACAAATTTTTGTTTTAATGTTTTAATTTTGAAAATGCAAATCGTTATTTTAGAAAGAATCTAATTTCCGTCAAATCATACAAACAATTTCCAATAAACTATTTAAAATGCTTATATACGCGAAATCTTAAAATATAATTACTTATCTATAATATAAACAAACAAAAAAAGAATACTAATTTTAGAGTTTCTTTGTACACATATGAAAAACACCTTGGAAATTAAAAAATATTTTTTTTAAAAAAGAAGAAAACAAAAATCCTGATTTTTAGAAACATACTTGCTGATTTGTTGATTGACCCTTGGCCAATTTCTAAAATTAAGTGTGATATTTTTGCTGATTATATGTTTGTCTAAATAGCAAATGGTAAATGTCAGAAGGGCAGTTTCCAATAACCAATTGCAATTCAGTTGTGAATACATGATAATAAAACATAACGATTGCAATCGCTGGACGAACACATCTAATTCCTGGCCGAAACAAGAGCAAACAAATATCGCTTGGCAATTGTTTTTATGGCAAATGTTTTTCATACGAGAAATCGCTGTGTGTGTGTATTGCGAGCACACAAAATGGCGGCTGGAGTAACAAAAATAAACGTAAAACGCACTTTCAACTTTTTCATTTAAAAACTGAAATTACTTTTTTGCTTCTTGCTGTCTGGGCGCAGTGGCAAAGGGGAGTGGGAGGGAGGGAGTGAGGCGCATAGCAGTTTAATGGCTGTCGTATTGTCCTTTAAATGTCCTCAAAATATGTACATGTATTGCACACGTGAAAGAAAAGCAGAAGAGTAGAAAGAGAACACACTTTAAGCCAACACGCTCCAAGGCGGCCAGAATATTTATGATAATTGCATTTTATGCAGCATTTTCTGTTCTTATGCTCTTATGGGGCAACATGACCATATCGAATCCTTTAAAAGCACACACTTGCCCCCATCTCTCTCTTTGTGTGTCGTCGATAAATATTTTGAAAGGCAAGCGCTGTGATGCAGGCCCTGCCTGCAACTGCAACTGCAACTACAGCTTGAGTCCTCCTTTGCCACGTGTGACCTGCGCACGCATTCTTGTGTTTTTCTGTTCACTTTGTGCATTTGCCGATGGTTCAATGAAATCAGCAAGCAGCCAACTGCACATAAGGAAAACAACCAAACACACGCCCACACACAGCATACTTTGCGTGCACTCAGGAAAAAAATCACACCTGAATTTTATGAATTCGACATACTTTTGACGCTAAGATTAACTCACCTTATTATTCAGAAAATACATTTCTAAAAACCAGAGTTTTCTATTTCTTAATTTCATGTTACATTTTTCTAAAATGAAGAAATAATGTGTCTAATTTCCAGGATACTGTTTTCTAAGTATTTAGTAGTGTATATAGAAAAATTGTCTTATGCTTTTTTGTTAGTTTAATTATTAGTAAAAATTAATAGATAACGATTTTCCATAAACAATTATGAAAAAAATAATAACACCTTTATAATACTTTTTCTTTCCAATATTATATATATATTTTTTGTTTCTTTTTTCATTTGAAGGGCAAAGTTCCAAAAAGCTGCGGAAAAATACCATCACTTACGCATTCTCTATGGAAATTGTTTATTTATTTTAAATTTTCATAATTATAATTGCACATTTCAAAAGTGAATATATTATTTTTTGGTTAGTTTTCTAACATTTTCAGTAAATGTATTTTTTTTTTTAATTTTAATTAAATTTAAATATGCTAAAATATTGTTTTCTTCTTTTAAGAGTCTTCTTCCACTTTTATCCATAGGTTTCTTAAACTTACAAATTTGAAAAGTCTCCATTCAAACCATTTCTTGTGAGAGTGCTGTTATTATATTTTTCATAATTGTAAGAACACGTTTTAAATCGCTTTTAATTCATTAATTAATTTTGTAATTTAATAATTACTTTATTGGGCTTATCTATTTAGGGAAAACCGTTCTAATTTAAAAAAAAAAACAGTTTTCTTATGTTTAGAAATTATTTCTAAAAGCAAGAAAATCGTTCTAATTCGTAAGGTAATCACCTTTAAAAAAACCATTCAGATTTTTTTTGCTGAGTGTACGCCTTGTACTCAGCACGCCCGTTTAATATGATAAAAGGACATGAGTTGCATCGAGTGGAAATTTCGCGCTCGGCCCTCGACCAGCATTGCAAAATAGTTGATACACAAAGCGCCGACGAAGACAAAAGCTTACTTAATTTAATTAATTGCATGCTTGAGCGGTGCAAATAAAACGTATCATATATATATATATATATAAATGTATATATGCTCTTTTTTAATATATATTTAAACGTGGACGTGAACATAACTCGATTGAGCTTTTCGCTGGATGGCAAACTAAATAAATGCCACATAAATTTCAGCTACTGCTCAAAATTTATGGCAATAACTGGGGCTATCAATAGAATGCCAGAACGAAAACAAATAACAAACTGAAATCAAATAAAAATCGAGCCAAAAGGTCGTCTAGCAAACACACAAATACACCCAACTTTTTTTTTTTTGGCCATGTTAGCAGCAACAAAGAAATCGTTGAACCAATTCAGCGACCAACTCAACAACCGGAAACGCGTTTCGTATAAAAACGAATTGAGGACTTAACGTTAGCACTAAAAAAAAGCAAAAAAAAAAAGAACATCAAAAACAATGCGAGGTTAACAGTTACTGCAAATGGCGTCAGTCGATGATGGCGTCGAAGCATAAAAACCACTCGACTCCTTTTATGACTCCCACCTCCACCCCCCCACCCACCCCTTCTGAACACACACACATCGGTAAAAACCGTGCAACACAAAACAAGAAAAACAAGTGCTTAACAAAAAACTATTGCACTCTGTTGAGAAGGCCAAATCAAAAGTTGTGTTTCACTTTTCAACTGCTGCTGTTGCAAGCTGCTTCTAATTGCGGCAAGCAAGTGTTGCAAATGTCACAGTATGTCATAAATATGATTAATGCCTGCGAAAAGTGTCACTTGTTGCGTAGTTCAAATGACCCGCCCCACAGCTTAATGTTCGAGTAGCAAATAATCATGTCCGGGCTCGTGCGGGGTGGCCAATGCGGGTCGTATGAGTGACATGCTCAATGGGGCATTCAGCTCATATATGCTGACCATATTGGCCCATTGTCCTTTGAACGTTGGACGTTGCTTTGCTTTTTGGCGATTTTACGGCTTATGATGAGCCACAGTTTCGTGTCGCTGGATTTTTGTACACTCAGCAAAAAAGTCGATTAAGCAAGTTAATTTCTACAATTTATGCTTGTGACCTAAAAACCAGCATTTGCATTTCTAAATTTCAAGGTGGATTTTTCTAATTTACAGGTACATTTTCTATGTATCTGGTAAAATAAAGAATTCTTATATTAACTTGTATAATATTATATATAATTATTAATAAAGATTTTTATTTCAAAATTTCACACATACAAACATTCTTTATAGCTTATAAAAATTAATAATAATAATAATCGAAAATATTTCTAAAAAAAAATAAAAATTGCTATATTTTTGAGATTATCGATTTGGGGAATTAATAGTTTTTAGAAATTGTTCTCTAATATTTAGAAATTACTTCTAAAAACGGAATAAATTTGCTATTTTTTTAGAACAATGTGAACGGTTTTTCCAATCCTGAGTGTAGGTGCTTTGTGTGCGTGTGCTTGTGTATGCATGAAGTGTGGCCATAGTCGAGTTTATTAGTAGGGCTTATGTTTTATGGCTAGAAGGACAATGGATGGCCAGCAGATGCTAGCTGGCCTTTTGTTTGTCTCTCGCTCCCACTCCACTCCCTCTCCACTTCCATTCATACTCAACGAAGTGTGTGTGTGTGTGTGTATGCAAGTGTGTGTGTGTGCATGTTTGTGTAGTGGTAGTTGTCATATGCTCGAATAAGCTGTCATATATGAAACATAATTTATTATGTTATAAAATATTATCGGATCTCTCTACCTCTCTCTCACTCTCTCTCTCTCTCTCTTTCGCTCTCTCTCTCTCTCTCTTTCTCTCTCTCTCTCTCTCTCTCGCTGGATACCCCGCTTCATTGGCCGCTTAAATCGACCGTTTTGTTGTAGACTCAATTATTCATATTGTTGCAGCAACTGTTGGTGCTGTTATTATAGTTGTTGTTGTGGGTATTATGACATGTGTTTGGTTTGTAGTTGTCCGTTCGTTGTTTGTTCTTGCCTGGCTGCCTGCCTGCCTGCCATTTATAACAACTGTCAACTGGCTCCAACTCGGGTAATCGATGTGAGCAGCGATTCCAAAATTGGACAGCGAGCACGTCCAGAGAAATGTCAAAGTTTAAGCGCTGCTGCCATTTATAGATCATTAAACATAAATGCCTTTAACTACACTCTGCAAAAAAAACGCCGTAAAAAATATAAAGTTTTTCTATTCTTTAGAAATAATTTTTAGATTTTAGGAAAACTATTACTAATTCGACAATCCCAAAAACTTCAATCATACTGTAACCAACCATCGGCGACAAAAATATGGCGATTTACAACAAATGTTTTTATAAGTGTATTTATTTATTTGTGTTGTTGTCTTTTTTATTGTCCTTGCAGTGTCCTGCAGTACGGTGACGGTAACAAAATGCCAAGCCGCACTCCGCACTTTGCAGGCGTTTCAATTCTTTCGCCCCACCTGCCTGTGCAAGGAGCCCGGCATGGATCCCGATTGCAATCATTTTCGGGATTTTCTGTTCGACCATCCTTGCGGATTTGTGCTCAAGAAAGGTAAGTGGCGAACACGTTTATAAAACTTTAGTTGAATCTTGTGCATCGTACAGGTTTTCTAATTGCTAAAATGAACTCTTGTTTTATTTCTTCAGCTGAAAAGGATCCGTATCCCATTGATGCTCTGCCCACTTGTAATCATGCTCTCTCCGTTTGCCAGCAGGAGCGCAAGTGTTTGAAGCTCTTCGAGGATTTCAAGACGCACTGCAAGGTGCGCGACAATAAATGCAAAATGGAAAACAGGTGAATAAATAAATAAAAATAAAAATAAAATCGATACAAGCAATGCAGAGAAGTATGATATGCATACGATGAAATATGCATTTTCTATTCAAAGCAGGAGATAAAAAAAAGAAGAAAATAAATGTTTTCCATATGAGTAAATGCTGCTATAAATAATAACAGAAAGCTATAAGAAAGTTGTGCAAAATTATATAAAGTATAGAAGGAAGCATCACTGTTAAACAGGAAAGAAAAATAGAGCATGCTAAAGTAATAACATACAGCCACTTATGTAAGGTTTTTTTTTATACATTTGTTGTAGTTCAGAATGCTTTTATGAATTTATACATACTATGAGAAAAAAAGAAAGCATGTTGAATTTTTAATCAATAAGTGATAATAATGTATAGGGGCTAACGAGAGGGCAAGGAGTCGAGCCAGCAAATTGGGAAATTAGCAAACACTAATTGGAAAAACGGAGCAAAAAGTGCAAGAAAGCTGTATAGGAAATCGGTTAAAAAAGTATTCAATTAAACTGTTTGGTTTAATGAGAAAATTGATTTTGTTGCTTGAGTCTGCTTGAGTATATCCTTGTTGCCATAAAAACTTTGAAACGGCAACGGCAAAAGCAACATTTAATTTCGATATTCGATTTTATTGGCAAAACAAGCGCACACACGCAACTTGGCGCCAAACTTGAAGTAACAGCAGCGAAATGAAATTTCCTGCTCGTTGAGCTCGTGCTGCTTCCTGCCTTCCAGCTTTCACATATTTGTGCACTTCGAAAAAAGATCGAACTGAATAATTTTAGAATACTGTTGGAGCCAAGGACACCTCATTATTTAGAAATAATTAAAAATTTAAGTTCGTGGCTTTCTAAAAATAAGAATTTGCGAATTGCAGAAAAAAAATATTTTTATATTTAGAAATTATTTCGATAACAAAAAAAACGAATCTAATCTTTAGAGATATTCTTAAATTGAAGATTGTTTTTTTTTTTTTGAGTGTATGCCACATGCTTTCGGGCCTGTCATGGCCTGTGCTGGCTCAATACTCTCCTCGAATACAAACGTTGTGAATGTTTTAATAACTCGAAATGACTTTCTGCGGTAGCCTGTGTAACGTCTTGGGTCTGGCTTAGAGTTTCACAGGCGCCGTCTAAACTTTCAAAGGGTTGACTGCTGCCACCCCACCACCAAAAACTACGCAGCCACCACCGCACCACCCGGCAACTGGTGCGACGTATGCGATAAAATATTAATTGAACTGCCGTATGTATGCATTTTTGATGCAATTGCCAATTTTAAAGTTTGTTGCGGAAGTCGAGTTCGGGTTCTGGTTCGGGTTGGGGTTAGAGCTTTGGTTTAGTTGGGGGTGCTTAAAATGAATTCAATTAGCTGTGGCTTTTTGGTGTAAACAACTTTTGTACTGAATGAAAAACTTTTCAATTTTTAGGGATGCCTGTCATGATGCCTGGACCAATTTACGCTTGTCGCCCATGTTTGGCTGCATCTGTCCAAATAACCATATGAAAAAGCGCTGTGATCGTATCTTTAATATTGTTAATCACAATCCGTGTGTGGGTAAGTTCTACAGCTATAATAAAGACAACAACTACAACAACAACAACAACTACAACTACAACAGCAACAAGAACAACACAGAAACTTCGTCTGTAATCCAATTCGTGGATTTGGTTTTGATATCTTAATGTATTAAAAACTAATTATTATTGAAAAAATGATAAAAACAATTACTCTAATTAACAGAATTCAGTTTTGTCTACTTTTCATTTCCATTGTACTTCTGTTTTTCTTTTCATTTTTATATTTTATGGTACTTTGTAAACCGCTCAAAACTGAAACTTGCCCAATAATTTAAGTAAACTTAAATCAAAAACCAAAAAACCTGAAACTAAAAATCGCACGCTTTTGCATCAAAACCAAAACAATAATAATAATAAAAAAAAAAAAATTAGTCGAAAATGAAACTCACATTTGCGTGATATGCGATCAGTAAGCAACTTTACTTAGAAATATATGCCTATATCAAGTACATGAATAATATATATATGGATAGACAATACGTATTAGCAATGCTCAGTAATATCGTAAAATATCACGTATACGTACAACATCTTAAATCAATGTATATCCAACAAGCTGCCGTGTTTACTGTCACCGCTCTATCTCTATCTCTCTCTCTCTCTCTCTCTCGCCTATAACTCTAACTCTCTCTCTCTCTCTATCTCACACACACAACATCCAACCTATCAAAAGTACAATCGTATTTTATAATACATAAATAGAAGTAAGCGTTTAACTGAACCATTCACCAAATCCAAACCAAGCCCATTGAATATTGTTGATATGTCACACGCCAACTGGTTATGTTACTGTGCTTTATACGATATCGATATTAATATTTGATTGAATTGCACCCGATAATAAATAAATAAATAAATTATGAACACCCCTAGAACTACTACTATGCTGTCAAAAAATGCTAAACTGTATGTCTTTCTTTAGTTCGCTGTACTTACTAACATACTCTCGTTCTCTCGCTCTTTCTCTCGCTCTCTGTACCCACATATATATTTTTTATTTACTTTTATTTGATTTTTTTTATGACTTAGGGCAGGTTTAGCGGGGCTGCTTGCATAGGTTACACCTGACTACCTCCTCCACTACTACTACTCTATTAGCTAACTAACGTCGTTGCTTTACCACGCTATACGAAAAAAAATAGATTTCCATTATCTCACATTTCACAAACTGAACCGAAAACTAACCTCGAGCTTAACTCAACTTAATGCCTGGGATAATTCCCATACAAATTCTGCACCTCGCACCAGCAACCCCTCGCACCATCGTCCCTTCGCACAATCGATCCCTCGCACCTTCCACACCTCTCACAATTGCCCCTGAAACCATAGTCCCCTTAACGCCTCGCACCCGCAACCCTTCGCACCAGCGACCCCTCAAGCCCCTCGCAGTATAGACACCTGGCCCCCTCAACCATCAACCATCCCACCAAGGCCGCCTCTCATGACCCCTCGCACCCTCAATTCCGCCACCCAACAACCGCTTGCACCCTGAACCCCTCTGACCATAGAACCCTCACCTCGTCGGATTTAATGCACCTCAGGCCACTAATAGCATTAATTAAATAAGCGCACCACTTGCACCACTCACAGATTCACGCACACAGACACTAAACATTACTCTATGAAATGTTGCACCTTTTTTGTGGCACTAAACTTTTTTTATGCACATCACGCATGGCACCCCACCCACTATTTCCCCTTATCCCCCACCCACTCTTGGCTCTTTGCAGATAGAATAATATTTTTTCCCAACGGTTTGCCCAAACTGAAACCAAAGCCAAAAACGAAGCTGAAATCACGGCGCAAACAGAAACAAAAGCACGCAGGACATCACAACGGACAGCATCCTTTCAATGGCACCGAGCTGTTATCCAACAACATTGAGTACCAATACCATGATGAGCCCAACAATGAGCACAGATTGAATCGAGAGGAGGAACAGGAGCAGGAGCAGGAGGAGGCGGAGGAAGACGATGATGATGATGAGGATACGGATGATGATGACTATGACGATCGCATAAGAGCGGAAATTTATTCAAATTATCCGCATTATTTGCATCCACCATCGTGGGGCATTAACAATCCTTTGGTGCTTGCCTCGCACAGTCCGCATACTTCTGAGGATGATGATGATGTGATTGTTGAGGTTCCCACCTCGTTGCACCATGGCCACAAGACACAGCAGCAAGCAGCAGCAAATGTGGCCGATGATGTTGTTGTTGTGGTCGATGCGGGTCCGGCTCAAAATCAGCACACACACACGCATCCACACACGCACACCTACTACTCGCATGGTGTGGAGCCATCGACCACGATGGGACCAACAACGACAACTCGCACCTCTAATTCACCTAAGTATGCAAACGCATTTGACTCGGCCCACGCCGAGTCCAAGTCGAAGCCAGCAACTTTCTGTTACAACTGATACAAGAACTACATTCGGAAAAAAATCGCAATAAATTTCTTAGATTTTACTGTGGATTTGTGTAAAATTTAAAACAAGAAGTTTCTAACTTTCTTGGGTCTTGCATTTTTAAACTAAATTTAAGATACAATTTAAAATTTAATATATTCTAATATAATACATATAGATTTTCTAAAATTCAAAGCGATTTTTTTCTACGTGTATGGTTTGCCTGACCCAAGAGCTAGCGCTACCCACGCAAGTCTGGCATTCAAGCCCTTCAATTAGCTCAACCAAATACGCTTTAACCACAGCAACGGCAACGGCAACATCAACTGCTGCAGCTGCAAACTTTATGCAGCAAAGCTTTTAAAATAATTGACTCACTTGGGTATACCACAATTTCCGGTTAACAGTAGCAGCAGAAACAGCAGCGGCAGCAGCCAACTAATGAATAAGTCCAACAAACAACAACAGAAACAAGCAAATTGAGCTATTGCCCAGATCCCTGGGCATTTGTAGAACATTTAAATACTTAATCGACTCCTAGTTGCATGCCATCTTAATGAATATTCAAATGATGTCCATTGTGGAGCATAAACTGATTTTAGGGACCATGCACTTTATCCCCATATCGACATATATGTATATATGAGTATCCCTTGTGGTTGGCATTTATTTATTTATAATGCCAGCGGCTTGGGCCAATTGTCATTTAGGAGCGGAAGTGAAAAGCCAAACCAATTCTTGATGCTTCATCAACTTTTGATGAAGTCCAAACTCTCTCCTTTCTCTCCCTTTCTACCTGTATCTTCCCTGTAAATTTTGTTAATGCTGTAAGCCGATTTGCGTCAACATAAAGCCATTTTTCCTTTGAGTTAACACAGCAAACATTTCCATTTGCAAAATTACCCACACATTTGCACAAATGCACCAGCACCAATGCACCGTTTGCACTTTTGACTTTTGAGTACATTACTGAGCTAATTAGCTAGCTTGCAGCGCATTCTCTTTCAATATACTAACTCTATGATGCACTTAAGTAATTTTGCAAATTTCCAAAACACTTGCAACTCCATTTAGCACTGGCACCAACTTGCACCAAACAGCATATCTAGGCGATTTAGTCGCCGGTAGCGATATAACCCACCGCACCCACTCCGCACCCACTGGCAACATGGATGAGAGGGGTAAGTAAATAGTAAATAGTTGCCATTATGTTTATTAAAATTCACTTAAGTTAAGTCTCGCATCAAATGCGAATCATTTCATGATGCAAATAGAATATTCGTAATAATACTTGGATAAAGGGATGCACATTTCTTACTTGGGAATATATATAATTATTATGAAGTAATAATGATGATTTCTAATATTATTTTCACTGAAAAACCAAAGTTTTATTTCTATATATGAGAACAGAATTACCAATTCATTTGATTAATTTAAAGAAATATATATATATTTTTTACTTCCTCACTTGTGTTTGTATATACTCATTATGAGGCAATAGTAAAACTTTCTAATATTATTTCCATTAAAAAAAAAAAAAAAACAATTTTATATTTATACATGTAAAATTAATTTCCAATTTATTTGAGAAATTAAAAGTTTTTTATGGCTGAGCCTAAACTAAATTTTAAAATCTTACAATAATAAATCACGACATATAATTTTCAAGTTTTGGATGTATATTTAAGCAATTGCTTATAAATGGCAAAAAGTAATGAGGCAATAATGTTATTTTCTAATATTAATTTCATTACGAAATCAAATTATAAATATTATTTTATATTTATATTTATTTGAAAAAGAATTTTCAATTCATGAAGGAAATTTAAAATTAATATTGTTTGTTTTGCTTTGCCTACTTTTTATAATAAATTCTTTAAAATTAATCTCATCACTGTAGTATAATTTACAAATTGTAAATATCTATTTAAAGGCAGTAATACTTCTAAGTGGATAGAGGTAATAAATAAGAGCACCTGGGCTTTGTGGCACCCTAATTTGTGGAGGGTACGGTGGGCTTAGTGGGTATTCTAAGAGCACACTGCACCAAAGGCACTCTCGTTCACACTAACTCACAGTCTCCTCACTCCAACTATTTATATATCTGGCATCTTTTGTGGCACCAAGTATATATTAGACGAACATGCGGCAGCCAACAACAAATGAATCAGCAAATGGCGGCCAGTGTACAGATACACTGTATCTGTATCTGTATGCGGCATACTCTACTCAGAAATAAATGTGCCTTAAATTTTTGTAATTATTAAAATTTTTGTAATTATTTTAGTTATCAATTCTTACATTTATGGCTTCCTAAAAACAAGGTTTTGCATTTTTAAATTTCTTGTTTTTGAATTTTAGAATTATTCTTTCTAAAGACGATTTTCTAAATATAAGAGCAATTTTGATACGCTGAACTCATTAAAAATGGGGTCTGTCCATCTATCTGTATGAGCCCGCGGATTTCAGAGACTATAAGAGCTAGACCCTTAAAATTTGGAATATACGTACTCGTATACCTGGCGTAGATCAAGCTTGCTTTATTTTAGGTAGTTGTCCTCCGATCGAATATCGAATCATTTAAATTTCCGATAGCAATAAATGCAACAATGTTAAAGGCAGAATCTTCTAATAAATATACAATATACATATGAAAATTATTGATCAACTGCCCAAATTTCATCAAGATCGGGTAAACAAATTCCAAGTTATAGTCGAAAAGATATTAACATATTGATCTTACATCTATCAGCAGTTGTAAGCATTTTCTGTGTGTGAGAAAGAGATGGAAACAAGTCTTTGGGAAAGATATGATTTGTGTATTCCGCAGATCTCGTTTGCCTACGATTGCCTGTACATACATATGTATGTAAGTTTATAGTTTTTTTTTAGTCTTCGGTGCCTGTGCTTGCTAAAAGAAATGAGTACACTTGCTGACCTGCTCACATTTCGGTGCAAAACATTTTATGGGGAAATTTGCCTATAATTTCAAAATATATTTGCTATTTTCGATATAGGGCAAACCCTTACAATTTTGTATTCTATTATTTCGAAAATATTTATATAAATTAGAAACGTTTTCAATTTTTTTTGGGCAACTTACTAAAATTTAGTGTGTGTGTGTGTGTTTTTTTTTTTTTTTTGAGTGTGTGTTTTGTTGTTGGTTTGCCACTAGCTGTCTTGAATTGAGTAGCTTTTTAGCTGTGGCAATCTATCACTGCAATCGGTTGCATACACACACGCACAGGCACAATGCACACTCGTGCCATAAATAAGCATTTTGTTTGCCACAGCGCCAAATACCTTCCCCAAAAATCTAACCAAGTATAATATTGATATGAAGTGCACTCAATTCACTCTGGTCCATTATGTTTTGTTAAGTTCAGTTTGCTGCTGCTTATTTACACCTCTCTCAGTCACACACATACACACTTACTCGTACACAATGCATTCATGCAACTTAATCTGCAGTCTCTCTGTCTTTCTCTCGTTGCATGCCACACTTGCAATCAATCGATTACTCCACGTAGTCTGTGTTTTACACGATTGTTTGGCATTTTGATTGTTACGCATTTTGTGCATTTTCGCTCATATTTATTGCCACAAATTTGACTAGCCATTGTCATTGGTCGTTCATCAACATCATCATCATCATCATCATCAGTATAGTCATCATCATCGTCATCATCATTATCAGTGATCCTTTTGTTTTTGCATGCGTTGCGGCATTTGTTAGGCATCTGCTGACAGAGGTTATAAATTTGAAGCTGGCTTGCATTGTGACTTCATTCGCCAATGCAACTATGGGACACTTACTCACATACACACACACACACATATAAACACGTGCAAATTGAGTAATGCATATATTGTGAATATTGGCAAGTATTAATGCATGTCACATGCAACGACGACTCACAGATATTTATGTGCACTCGATTTATACGCATTTATTCACAGGAGACCCAGCCACAGTCAACAGCTACACTCAGAAAATAAAGATCAAACTGAATTGAAGAAATTCGCCATACTTTTGGCTTACCTTATGATACGAAAATGTTATTCACAAGACAAGGAGTTTAAATTTGTTTCTTATAATAGAATACTCAGAATTACATAATTACATGATAAGGTCAATGATTATCACAACGGATTACTCGAAGAGGATCATGCTAGGAATAATTAGTTAAGGGAAAGCTTTATTTCTGAGTGCATTATAAATTGTAACCACACGCAATTGCAATAGAGCAAAAAGCAAATCACCAAACTGATACTTTTACTTAATGGCAGCAAAAATAATAAGCTATTTCGGGCAAAACGCTTCACTAATTTTTATTAATTGTAAAATTTTACTAGTTTTGAAAGTTACATTTCGTTTTTGAAATTTACATAGAAAAATAATTGTGTAAATCACATAATGCTAAGCACACACTCAGTTGGCAAATTTAATTAAGCACTAGTGTAAACAATTAAAGCGATTTGCGAAAAACAACAACAGCAAATTCAACATTCGCAGCAAAAATATGTGGTCACCTCCTAGTTGGCATTTCATTGTGTTTGTGTTTCTGCATGCAATAAATATTTTCATAATATTGCAGGGCTTGTGAAGGCCCCTAAGGCTTGTGCCACACGAGACACGAAACACAAATTATGGCATGGAAAGCAGCAATTCCGGACGCATACGGTTGCCACGCACTGTGTGTACTGTATACCAACGTTATTTTCAAATTATAGCGCATTCTGAAATTTATCTCAGTTGTTTATGAGTTTTGTACAATAATTACGCGCCATTTTCTGCATGGCCTTTGTTCGCAGCTAAACTTGTCTGCATTTGTGTATTTATGTGCAATTCCCATTGATGTGACAGGCCAACAAACACCAGCATAAATTGACTTCAGTGTGCCTTATCCCAAACAAAATTAAAGCTTTTTCTTTATTTTATGTTACACTTTGAAAAAAGCAGCTCACCGAATTTTAGTAATTAGCCAAGGATAACTCACCTTGTATTTCTAAAACCATGGTTTTTCTTTTCCTTAATTCAGGGCATCTTTTTCTGACAAAAAAAAATGTATAAGAGTCAGGGTACTTTAAAACAGATTTAAGCATTAATTTACTTTGTAATATAAATGTATTAACATTTATATTTTAAGATTTTATATTTACAAAAATTGTAAATAGTTTATAAATTGATATTATTTAATTTGAAAATGTTTAATATTTTTCGACGATTTGAATTAAACTCTAATTTAAATGTCGAGGCAGTAAACTTCATTATTTGTTTCTGACTTTTAGAAAAGATCTTTTTAAAAAATCAGAGCTTTGCATTTCTACTTATTGGAAATTTATTTCTTAAAAATAAGAAATATTTAAAAAAAAATCGATCAAATCTTTCTAACCTTATGAAAATGTTTACTTATATTTTGAAATTGTATCTATAAACAAAAACAAATTTTCTAAAATTCAGGGCGATTTTTATGTCAGTGAAGGCTTTATTATACGGAGTCCAAAGTCATATGATTCCTGTAAGATTCGAAATGACTACATTGCTTATAAGCAAAAATTGTTTGAGAGCACCAGAATAAATTGATTTAAAGGAAATAAAAAGTGTTGTTTTTTAACATTATTAAATTGAATTATAACTGGCCATTTCTGAAAAACTAAAGGTTTTACTTTATTTCCTACTAGGATGCATAAAACGCTGCCCATTCCTATTAGATCTGACTATATTGCGTATACGCAACAATTGTTTGCCAGAGATCCAATCCCGTCGTCGACAAGCGCTAACATGGGCGATAACACTTAACAAACAGTACTAATCTCATTTCCAGCTGATTCGCCCTGCTCAAGGAGGGGGCAGTTAGGATTACGATTGCTCGATTCCCCCTTCAAGTTGCCACACGCAGTGTTTGCTGCGCAAATATTTGCTCGACAAAATAAGTGGCAAACATAAATAGAAAACGCAGACAGGCCAGTTGGCTGGTCTGGCATGGCAAATCCCTGCCACTTAGCACCACGAACTCCCCCTTTCCACACACATTGACCGTCTCGTGGCTCGTGCAGCTTCCTTTGAGTATCCTTTGAGCAGTGTTGTTGCCACAAATGAAGCGCACTTTGGCGTCTGCTCGGCAAGATAAGCAAATGCCGCTTACTGCTGCTGTGGTTGCAAATACGGCTCCATTGAATCGTTTACCATTTGCTCGCTCTAACAGCGCATGACATTTGAAAGATACATAAACTTGCACACACACCTACACTCGCACAGTCAGCACGTCTCTGTTAGCGTTGTGTTTGCCTGTGCCATTGACATTGATAGCAGATAGAACCGTAGCTTTGCTGTGGGAATTGGTGCGTGGCATGCCACACAATAAGCTATTGGCCAAATTGAACTGAAAATTGGTTGAGTTATATGCCGCTTAGACCACACTCAGAAAAGCAAACTCCCTAAATGTTAGAAAATCGCCATAATTTTGACACCAAGTGTAAATTATTATTTAGATAGTAAATTTCTAAATTTATATTTTTTATTTATTTAAGGTCAACTAAGTTCAATTGATGTAAAAATAATTCTAAGTTAATTTCTGAAAATAAATTATTAAAATGTGTTTGCATTTCACTTATACAAAAATTTTAGATAGTTTATAAATTCATATAAATAAATTTTAAATAAATAAATAATAAATTTAAATAAATTTTACTAAGACGCCGTAAAACCAAATTGTAATATAAAAGCTGAGCCAGTAAACGCCATTAATTGTTTTTAAAATTATAGAAATTATTTCAAGAAATAAAAGAAAATCGCCCATTTTTTTATATAGTCTATTTAGGGCAAGCATTTCTAAATTTTAGAATTTGTTTTCCAAATACTTAGAACTAATAGCTACAAACACGAAAAACTTTCTATGTTTTAATGTAATTTTCAGAAATTCAGGGCAATTGTTTAGTCTGAATGGACACACCAATGACCATTGCATAAATTAGCATTCAAGTACTCGATTAATATGTGCAAATGACGCAAGTGGTATGTGGCAGACAGCTAACTGTTACAAAACTAAAATAAGCTGCAGACGAGCCTATATATTTTTTATTCGCACAGCATGTTGATATTATAAACTGAATTTTATTTAAATAAAATATATACTGGACTTTATCGCATAACTCACATTAAGGATTGTATTTACCTTTTGTAACTGAGAGCTCAAATAGGCAAATCTACACAACTTAAAGCTATCACTGCCTCACATTAATAAATTTGTTTTAAAAAAATATATCCACATTAATGGGACGCTTTCAACCTTTCATTTCGCCATAGCAGATAATTTTAAGCTGCAATTGAAAGAGCTCTTAATGAAACTTTCTTGTAATTTAAATTTTAATTAAAAAATGTATATATTTTTCGTATGACTGCTCACTTCTAATTTTGTTCCACTGTCTCACAAAAATGTTCTACGTTTTTAACTGCACCAAATAAAAGCACACAGTTTTCCCTAAACTTTCCATGTAAATTATAAATTATAAATTTTGGTTTTCTATAATATTCAACTCGTTCAGTTCAATTTATCCAATTTGAGTTTGTTGAGAAGGTCTACTAAACAAAAAAAAAAAAAATGTATTAACCCATACAATTTCGATGGGTACACATAAACATGTAAATTTTTGTTTTCATTTGTTAGCCAAGAAATTTGAAAAAAAAACAACAACAAAAATACCAAATCGATTGAAATTATGCAAATTGATTGGATGTGGAAATATTGCTGAGTTCCAATCCTGTGTAGCAATAATGACAACAACAATAAAATAACAATAGCTACTCGTATCTACAAAAAAACAACAACAACATAAGTAAAAAAGCCACTGTACAACAACAACCAACTACAACAAACAATTCTACCCTCTCTCTTCTTGCAACTTAAAATTCCAGTAAGAATATTGGGCATGGACGAGAAATTACATCAGAGAATCTTCGATGATAATTTGTCGCTGATTGATACGCCATTGATAGCGGCGATGGGCGGCGCGGCAAGCGGCAGCTATAATTATCCGGGCTCGGTGTCCAACACACAGCTGCACGGCGTACTCAGCTATCCGTTCAATATAAGCGGCTTTCATCAGCGCCACATGGCGGCAGCAGCCGGCGCCGGAAATGAGTCGCCATTTGATATCGTTGATACGGGCTATGGCTACGCCGGCAATGCCAATGCCAATGGCAATGGCAACGGAAACGGAAATACCGGTGTTTACTATCAAAGTATGTGCACATGTTTAAGCATGAACGTAATCAATAAACAATGAATAACTGACCACAAACTATGCAAACTATAAAAACGAAAACAATTATATGATCAGCAGGAGAACAAAATAAAGAGACAGATTATTTTTACACATTCTAGGTAGGGTTTTTTCTTTTTTTGTAATATTTTGAACGTGTTTTGCGCGTTATGTGTCGTCCCCTGTAACTAATTAACTAACACAATCCGTTGCAGGTAAATTAACAATTACTCAACTTTTACTGTTCAACTTTTTATTTATATAAACAAACAAAAATAAAAACAAAAATATATAAAAACAACTGGTGCGCTCCGAGCCCGCCTTTGCTTTGTGCATATTTTTTGGCATTTGCTCAACTTTTATAAATATCGAAACAGTAACAAAAACAGAAACTGCCTTACATACTCGTATATACATTATTCAATATAAACATATATATATATACATATATGTAAAGAATGATTTTATATATGAATACTTTAATTATTCGTTATAAGTTCAATTATGTAGCTTGCCGTTTGTTTTCAATATGTTTTGGAAATTTTTATCGATTTAAAAACAAAAACATTTGCTTCAACTTCGTTACGAACATTTCTGACAGTGAATTTTCTTTGGCATATTTTTTAAAATTCAATTAAATGCGGAACAGGTGTATAAACTTTTTTTTTATATAATTAAACAAAATTTTAATGTTTTCTTATTTGCCTAAATAAAAATCATGAAAACTTAAAAATGTCGTGACAACAAAATTCATTAAAAATCGAATTAAAAGCTGGAAAATACATTTTTGTTACCTTTAATTCAAGCACAATATTTTTTACAAAATTTTTCAATGCACCTGTTTTTTGGAAAAACAAAAAAGTTACAATCACAAATAATTCAACTACTAAGTACAAAGAAAATACGTTACATACATTTCTTTTTAAAACTCAAAAATTTTGTTCAAATGCAAATTTTTTCCAATATGTTTCATATGTTGCGTGTTCCATTTAAATAACAACAAATACAACATCAATATTTACACCAACAAATAAAAAGACCTACTCATTAAATCAAACCATTCAATTTGATAATGCCAGATAAATTCAAGAAAAAACAAACGTTCATTTAATTTTAAGAAAACTATACATTTTTAAAAGACGCAACTCAACTCAAATAATATTTTGATATTTTGATAGTTCAATTTGACAATTACGGGCTTCAAAAAATTTATCTTATTAATATTATACATTTTGCATCTCAGTCGCTCAAATATAATTTGTGATTTCTGTTTATGTGTTTAAAAAAATATTTTGCGCCCTCATAAAACTTTTAATTTTTCTTACTATCCTTTTGGCTTTGCGTGCATTGTCAGATTTTTTACTTACCACAGAACAATTATTACTAATTATTAGTCAGAATATACTACAGTCAGTTATCATATTAAACACATTAATATCATTGACTAAGTGTTCCCAACTTAAAGCAAAAATACAAAAGAAAAACACATACACTTACATAAAACAGAATTTCATCGTTAGTTAATAATATCGCCACTCCCAGCGAACCCCAAATATTTTTACGAGTAGGTTGTAGTTTTTAAAGGCCGACAAATCTATTTATCTACTATTAAATATCTAATAAATAAAATACATTTAGTATTTAGTTGTGTTTTACATAAGCCCCAGCAGCCCCGCTGCACCTGTAGCCCTGCTCCACCCCCTCCCCTGCAGTTAAAAGTAATGAGAATCGATTAACCCAATTGTAGGCAACGAATTTGGAAAATGTATATATATATATATATATATATATATATATAGATATACATTGCTTTTAATTTCGTTAATTATGCTTTACGTTTTTATTATTCGATTATTTCGATAATTTATGGGATGGGAGCTATGTGTCTGGGTCATGGAAATATTATTATGAATATGAATAGAAATGAAAGCCGACTGCAAGTTGGTTAATTAAAATGTAATCCATAACTGGCACCAGCTGTTGCCCCCAACATGATACGCCTTCCCCTTCTCCACCGGCCCCCTTCGCCCTTCGTCGATAATCATTTCTAATTAGGATTATTTACCGTCAATCCCATGACGCAATTGAGTTATGAACAAATGCTGTTGTGCTAATGTTAATTAATATGTTTTAAATGCAATAAAATAAACATAAACAAATGCTGAATAATATAATAATTAATAGTTGTTCCAAAAATATAAATGTTGCATAAGCAATAATAGTTTTAATTAGCTTAAATATTTTATAATTTTAAGCAACAATTCAATTTGAAATTGGAACACTGTCCAATTTTATTTGTCATGTTGGTCGTTCATGTTGGTGGACCCAGTCTGAATGTGCTAATTGTAATATAACTCGAGTATTTTGTGCTCAAAAAGACGATAACTAATGGATAAATCTTTTCAACGTTTTTCTACAATCATTGCGGTCTCAACAATTATGGCACAAACTGAAACTCTGAACACTCATTTTGTCAAAATGCAATTTGAACTCGAAACCCAAAACGCATTGGTCACTTGGGCACGTCTGATGCTGCAGGTGGTCAGGATGTTGAAGTTGACCTCTCAACGGAAATAATCAAGCAACACTTTCAGGTAAGTTGAGACCAGATGCCAATGCATAATTTTTGCTCTCCACGGACACAGACACAGACATTGCAAAGTACTGAGACTACACCGAAAAAAATCACAATAAATTTTAGTAAATCTCCAAGGGTTCTTCATTTTATAAATCAGAAAGTCATTTTCTAAAATTTATGTAGCTTTCGAAAAACTAAAAAAAAAACGTTCTATATATCGGGATGGATTTGTCTAAAATGTAGAAAAATATATCTAATTTACTAGGTGTTGTTTTCCATGTGAGTACCTTACGAGAATTCTTAAAGGAACTTTTTTGTTACTTATAAATAACATTCTAGATTTTATGGCGATTCGAATTAAACTCTAAAATAAAAGCCGTGGTAGTAAATTTCAATACCTGTCTCTGAATTGTATAAAGGATTTTTTTTAAAAGGCTTTGCATTTCTTCCTTTCAAACATGTTTTTCTCTATAAAAGAACAATTTTCTAATGATATAGAAAAAATCGCATAATTTTTGGCTTGTACATTTATGCTAAGCCTTTCTAGTCATTAAAAATTGTTTTCTAATATTTAGACTTTATTTCTGCAATTTTTTTTTTTTAAATTAGGTTTGCATTTTTTTTTATAAAAATGAGCATTTGCAATTCCACATTTTATAAACTTATTAATAACAATAAAAATTATTTCTAAAGATAATATACCATATTCTTTTTGGCGCTTAATGGAAGCCTTTCAAATTTTTTGAATTTCTTTTCTTATATTTTGCAATTTTTTCCAAGAACTAATTTTAGTAATAAACGTGATTTAATTTTAAGGCGGTTTACTAAAATTTGGGACTATATGTTTTTTTCTAAGTGTACTGAATATATGTTTGTTGCGCAAAACGTTTTTACAATTTTCGTTTACAAAAAAAAAAAAAAACAAATGTGGTGCAGAGTACCTGCCACACAGCACTGGATAGCTGCCGTGAGGATCCCGGCTGCTCAACATCATTGCAGCCGATGCTGATGCATTGTGAGCTGCATCGCTGTAATCGTAATGCGTGCATGACATCATTGCAGTCATTCTACAAAGGACCACACGAGGACCTCAATCTGGACATTGCCTTTTGTCTATGCAAGTAAGTGGCAGCAGCTGTAGCAGCAGCAACAATAGCAATAACTACAACAACAGCACACATTTTTCCACTCTCTTTCCAGAAAATCCACTAGCAGCAACAACAATAATAATAGTCCCAGCCAGCAGAATGGCAATCGGCATGACATGTGCATGATTGCACAGGAAAAACTGCATCCCGTCTGCGCACAGAGGCCACCCGATAGCAATAATCCCGCCAGCTCCAATGGCATTTATTACCATCCGCCGCCAGCTTGCCACGTTGTGGCAGACAGCTGCAAGGAGGATCGCGAGTGCAGGTGAGTCCACTCACATATTCAGATAGTCATAGTTATATGCCCCGTGCCGTCTCCATAATTCAAATGCTCGCTAAGCGGAAGCGGAAATATGCGCATCGCATGTCATATCCGCTCTGCTCGTTTTAATCTCTCTGTGTGTGTGCGTGTTTGTGAGTGTGCGGGTCTGTATGTAAATCATTTTTGGGTCCGCAATTCAATTAAACAAAATTCAATTTCGTGTACTTATTGAATTATATGAACAGAGAGCGGCCGCAACTGCTATGATGACATTTTTGTCAAATTCATTTAGCTGAACACAGCTGAAAATACCAAATTTACAGACAATAACTCAAATTGTACACGCTCAAAAAAATCAAGCAGAAATTTAGAAAATCGCCCTAAAACAAGAAAGATGTCCTTGATTTTGTAAATAATTCTGAATATAGGGAAAAAAAAATGTCAAAATTTTTTACGCTTTACCTAAGTCAACGCCAACAACATTTTTTAGAAAATCGCCCTGAAATTTGACAATCCGCCTTGAATATTAAAAAGTTATTCGTGTTCTTAGAAATAATATCTAAATATAAGAAGTAGGGCTTCATAAAATTAGAAAGGCTTGGCCCAAATCGATAAACCCAAAAAATATAGTGCTGCTCTTTCTCGATATTTTCCCTAATGAAGTATTGTTTTCCATATCGTAGCTATGCTCAAGTTTTTAGTTGCTAAATTGAATGAAGTAAATGATTTAGGTTTATTTCTAGAGAGTCAATTAAAGTTCGATTGTCATATTAAACTCCTTGTCAACAAAGTATTTCAAATTCTTTGTCTTTTTAATATAAATTTGATGACCCTATTGTACGACCAATTTTAGAATTCGAATCCTGTTTGTAGTCTCCTCAATATCCGATTCACAAAATCAAATCAGGGTTTTATTATTTTAATTTAAGTTTAAATATTACATTATATTTGTATTATAACTGAATTTATTTTCTATTTTTTATATTTTTCTGTGTCGACTGATATTAGTCGACATTAAATAAATAAATAAAATTCGGAGTGTTTTTTTGCTGAGTGTAAGCAAAGCCGGAAAGCCCAAAACACAGGCAACAGCTTAAGTTGTGTGCGACTTGCTTGCCAAAATGCGCGTCATCGTCAAACGGGGCGTTAAATTACCACTTTGTGCACAGCTCTTCATTAAACACGCCACGACATGGCACGAGGCAACCACACACCACACACATCACACACACACACACAGGAAGAGGAAGCAGGCAACACTTTGAGCCACTCCAGCAAAGCAGCCAAAACTTGAAGCCAGGCCGCGAATGTGTCAAATACAAAGTAAAGTGATAAATACGATGCATGTCATGACTGTAAGTGTGTGTGTGTGTATGTGTATGTATGTGTGGGGGCGTTTGTGTTTGTTGTCATGTTACAGCTGAACAAGCGCAGCGAACGTGGCGTCGACTGTGGTTGTGAAAATTAATTGCCTTTTAAGTGAATCTCACTTGCTTTAGTAAACAACTAAATCGGACTAATGACGCTCATTTTGTATGCTGCTCTGCTCGCTCTGTGTGCATGTGTGTGTGGATGGTGTTAAAGAAAAGTCAAACTGCAGTTGGCCTTTCGCTATTCGAGTGCTTACACTCAGCAAAAAAAATTAACCTGAATTTTAGTAAGTGTCCTAGTAAAAACCCCATTATTATTCAGAAAGTAAATTCATAAAAATTGTTGTTTGTGACCAACTACAAAACAGGGCTTTGCATTTCTTAATTTTAGTTTGCAATTTTCTAAGAAGTATAATTTCCAGGATGTTGTTTCGTATTTAAAATTTTATTTAAATTTAATTTAGTTTATTTTTACCTTTTGTATTTTTTTTTGTGTCAAATGAGTTTAGCTGACAAAAACGGAATAAATGACAGAATTTGGAAATCATTTACAATTTTAAAAAAGGTTTTTTAAAAATATTAGGGCTACTATTTAAATTCTTTAGAAATGCATTTCTTAATAATAGAAAATAAATATTTGGAATTGTTTTTTTTAACTAAAGCTTACTGTGATTTTTTTTACCAAGTATATGTTGACTTATTACGGATAAGACGCGTTGCATGCATTGTGCAGCATTGTGAGGTACATTTGATTGGCTGCCTGGTCGATGTTGAGAAGTTGGCTTTATTTTACCGCTTAGATGGCTGCCTCAATATGCCACGTGCGGCAAGAGGAACACTTCAATTGCAATGCATACATTTACGTAATCGAATCATCATTTATATAAGCATTCTAATTGGCAAATGCCCAGTGAAAAGAAATCACTCAAAATTATGTAATTATATTGAGTAGTTTATCTGCTTGAAATTATAATTATGCTTAGTCCAGTCCCGTGCTGAAGATAATGCGTATTGTTTGGTCTCATTACTCTGCTGCTTGTCGATAAACTTGCAACAGCTATTCAGATGGCAACATGTATGTTACAGGTTTCACTTGTCTGCACTGCATTGTTTTACGCATATTACGCATACGCCGTGTTGCAACTAAAGCCACAGCATCAAAGATTTTACAAGCAGAAAGAGTGAGCTGAGTCGTAAACCTGATGCCATAAATTGTGTAGCTATTTTGCGGTGGTGTGGCAGAAACATCTGCAGTCCCATGAAATGCAGTAGAATATGCCAAGAGTAATGCCAACATAAATTGCAGCACATCAATCTCAGACTCCGACTGAAGCTAGCTACAAGGAGAGACTGCAGGTAACGGGGCATACTTACTCACAGCCGTATTGGAGGACAGACAAGAACTGCAACTTACACTCAGAAAAAACATTGCCATTCATTTTAAAAATGCACCTTATTACACAGAAATTAAATTTCCAGTATGGAAACAAAATATGTTTTCTTATATTTAGAATTTATTTCTAAAATCAAGAAAAACTTTCTGGTATACTGGCCAATTTTTTAAATTCAAGGTTTTTTTCTGAGTGTACAGAAGGACAGACGTGAAGTGCATACACACCAAGGCAAGCACACATACATGTTAAAACTCTGATTTTTATTTTTCTCTGTTTACTCTAATCGCCACAGAGTCAAATTGGAGTATTATGAACAGGCCAGTGCCGGATTACAAAAAAATAAAATAAAATAAAGTAACAATATAGCACATGTTAACACTCAGATTTTTATTTTTGCTATGTTTACTAATCGCCAGAAACTTAAGTTCAAGTATTAAATAAATAAAAAAATTAAGTTAATTAAAAACCTATTAGCACTTTGATTCTTTTTCTGTTTTCTAATCAAGACAAGAAAAAATAAATTTATGAATTGAAACAAAAGTCTCCACAAATTGAAGTTGGAGTATAAAAAAATAATTAAACACTCGAATTTTTTTTACCACAGACTTTAATTGGAGTATTAAAAAAAAGAAACACATTTTAACATTCTTGTTATTCTATTTACTTCTTTCTCTATTTACTTTATCGCTGCAGACTTAAGTTGGAGTACTACGAGCAGGCCTGTGCCGTGGACAGTGTGACGAAGAAGTGTGCCGGCCGCCCGAGCGGCTGTCGGACTGCAATGATTGGCATATTGGGCACCATGCTGCGGACCACATGCGCCTGCCAGAACACGGATACCCAGCATCTCTACCAGTGCGTCGGGTGGCGACGTCTGCTTTGGATGAATCCCTGTGTGGGTGAGTAGAAGAGAGAGAGAGAGAGAGAGAGAGAGAGAACTCGATTTGGGGAGGGGGAGAGGAAACTAACTGTGGAAATGAATGTTGCATGCTTTGCAGTTGAGGCACAAAAGGATTTTCATATGAAGCGTTTGGCCGAATTGGGTTTCCTAACAACGACGACGACGACAACAACAACAACAACGACGACGACGACAACAACGCGTGCACCACCAGTAACAGCACCACCTGCACCACCACCGAAACCGACGACGACAACAACAACAACAACAAACAGCTTGCAAACGAAGCAGACGCCAAGGAAACCAGCAACGCATATCTTCAAGGTAAGTGCCACAGAGTAAAGCTAATTATGTGTGGAGAGAACTGTGACAACAGCATGTCAGGCTATCCGATTAACAAGATTTAACAAGAGTTACCACCACCAGCTTGTTCGTCCTTTCGGCATTCGTTATCCTTCAATCCATGCCAAGCGCACAATGTTGTTGTTATATATATTGTGGCACACAGCATCGAGTATCGAGTCTGAATGCAAACCGACAAAGCAATCAATTTCTGACCTGCTATAGGGGGAGGGGCAGCAGCTGCTGCTGCTGCAAAAAGATTAAGTGCCGTGCATAAAAATATAAAAAAAAAAATAATTCTCGAGTCCGCATTGGAAACTTTAAAACACATTTTTCTGTCTTCTTTTCATATATCAACTATACGCATAATAACAATCGCAAAACCACAAAAAAATGAAAATAAATAAATATTAAAAAACGCATAACTGTGAAACAAAATTGATAAACCACCAAAAACCACCACCGAGAGCAGGCAAAGGAGAAATCGGAGCCAGCATCTGTGGAACACAATTATCTCGATCCGCCCGATTCGGTGCCGTTGCACAGCGGAAACGATGCCAGCGGAAATGGCGGAAATGACGATTATCATGGCGGCAATGAACACGACAATAATCACGGCAAGACCCATCCACATGGACACGGAAACGGAAATGGCAATGGGAATGGGGGGAATGGGAATGGGAATGGAAATCGACGGCAGAACAGCAACAACAACAACAATAAAAATGGTGGCCTTGGCAGGCAGGGCGTAGATTTCGATGATCCGGTAATTTTTGTTGACCAAATGGAAACAACAGAATTTGTGCACAGCATCAGCCACACAGAACCGACAACCACAACGACCACAACAATGCTGACCACAACAACAACCCAGCCGCCAAGTAAGTAAATGCACCGCAGCCCAAACCCCATTTTGTGCGAATCCGAGTCCAGTGCGTTTGGCTTTTCACATACACATAGATAGAGCCGCAGGCTGTCGACAGCCGTTAACTGCACTCAGAAAAATTTCGCACAGTATGTCGCCCTGAAAGCCAGCAAGATTTTCTTTTTTTCAAAAACAATTTAGAAATATGTGAAATACAATGTTAAAAACATTCGAAAGGCTTTTTCCAATTTTTATTGTGATACATATTTCTTATAGAAATTATTTCGAAAAGTAGAACATCGCCGTGAAGACTAGAGAAATTTTTTAGAAATCATATTTACATATAAAAAACAACGTTTTTACAAATTAGAAATGTATTTCCTATATTTTTCTTAAATATATTTCTTAATAGGAAAAAAAGCAACAAATTCTAAAATTTATAAAGGCTTATATAATATTGTAGACTCTATTTCTGAAAAGCGAAAGCAAATACTGATTCCCTTTTTAAATTAATTAGATACTTATTACATTTCTATCTCGATTACCATATTAGAGTTTAGCTGATGTCGTCCTTTTTTAAATTATATATTAAAAGGTTTGTGTATGTCAAATCTTAAGATACTAATTTTTCAAATTATTAATAACAATAAATAATACAAAACAATTGATAATAATAGTATATGAAAACGCTTTACGTTAGACATATCCACTTATAAGTAAAATAAGGATGGAAGGGAATTATATCAATATTCGCGCTTAATTTAAAATATAGAAATCCATATAAAAAAAATTATATTAATAAAATATTAGTGGAAAGGAATTTTATCGATATTTGAGTTTCAATTGAGTTATTATCCTCAAACTAAGAAAAGATAAACGGGGTTTTTTTTTAGAGATATACTTTCTGAAAATAATAAGGTCAATTTGAAAGATTTATTTTTTGAGTGCTTCCCTCTCATGGGAAGCTATATTCCATTTTCCGTACCAAAAAATAAAGTAAATATTCTGCTATATTTTTACAGAGCGCCCGAGTGATTTGCTTTATGTATTGTCATTTAAACTTTTGCCGACTTTATCACAATTAGCGTGTACCGTGGGACGACACAGTCATGATAAGCATCACCACCACCCAGTTCTTAAACCAAACCGCCTCTTCCCTCAACCCCCTTTATAATGGCTACGCATTTAAGTTTTTAAAATTGCATAATTCATGTGGTCGATGTGGTTCTGTGGCTAATTAAAGCAACAACTCAACGCGGCGTGAATGCCACATTTATGTTGCAATATAACTGTATATTAAAGTGCAGCATTAAACGCATGACTGTGTATGCGTGTTTGGTGTGTGTGTGTGTGCAACCATTAACCGGAAATGAGTTTGTTTTTGGGTCTTATGACAATTTCTCGCATATTGCGCAGCTCCCAAAGATGGCCATTGTCGACGAGCGTGTATTTTAAATTAAATTTAGCCATAATAGAAGGATGAATAACTGTACAAACGAGCACTTGAGCGATTCTTTGCGATATTTATACATTAATATCGAATAAAAAATCCAAACTCAGAAATAAAATTGCCTTAAATTTTAGAAATTTGCTAGTCTTTTGGCATCAAGGGTAAGAAATTTGCTAGTCTTCTGACATCAAGGGTAAATCAGCTTATTAATCAGAACGTATATTTTTAGAAACCAGAGATTTTCTTTTCTTAAATTCAGGGTACATTTTTGTAGTGTTTAAGAAAAAATATGTTTAATTTCCAGAGTGTGTTTGACATGTGAAAAAAAATTATTAATAAATATTAGTATTTTACGATTTCATTTAGACAAACAAATTGTACTCTAATATTTTTGTGCAATTATTGTTTAATGTATGATTTTCATATAAGCCATCCTTTCGGATTTTATGAATTCCCCAGTTAAATAATTTTCTGACATTTGAAGTAAAACTAACTTAATTTAAAGTTAAACTAATTTTTGGGAAATAGTCATCTCAAGTGTTATTCTAATATTTTTAAGTAATTAGTGTTTATTGTGCTTTTCAAATTGAATTCACAAAGAGTTATCGCTTATCTCCCCTCATTTAATAAGTACTTCTTCAAATTGTGCATTTTACAGACAAACCCGTTTACAAATTCCATTGCAAATGTAAATGAGTTTGTTTGTTTGCCGCACTTCTATCAACGGAATTACATACACGCACATGCATTATATACATAAATATTTATGTATTTTTATGTATAAATGGCCTTTAGACGTTATTTATACTGTTGGGACAGTTGCGTGCATATTTTGTTTAAATTGTTTGTTGTTTAGTCGTCGAGTTGTGCAGTTTGCATGTCTCATCTATAATTGATTTCGGGCCAACAACAGAATTTAAAAGTTTGCTTTAAAGTGTAATGCGAACTAAATAGTTGTGAATTATTTACTTAACGCAACTAAATGACCCACTCAAGCAAAACACATTTATGACTAACTAAAAATGTAAACAAGATCTGAGCTGCTTTGTTGTTGATTTATTGACAAAGTTTTGAGCTACACTTGTGGGCCAAGTAAATGCCCAGAGCGCTACTAAAAATAGCTTGGGCAAGGTTCGTTAGCTTTTATTGTTCAGGCAACACTTTGCATACCTTTGGCCTGCAGACCACCAATTAACACACTCTCCCATCGAAGGGGGCACCCCTCTCAACGGCCGACGCACATGCACAATACTGTGGCAAACACATCACTAACTTGCCCCCAACCCCATCGCTCAAAATTATGGCTTCTCTTAATGAATGACGCACAGCAGTCCGATAGTTTTCGAATAAAGGTAAAATAGAAAATCTTTATTTATTTCATGTCAACTAAAGTTAGGTGACATAAAAATTTCAAAATTAAAAAAAAAATTTAATTAAAATTTTAAATATTATATTTTAGTTAAAAATTTAAAATTAGATATATTTACAAGATATATAGGGTTATTTAAATACAAAATAATCCAACATTTATTGCCTGAATTGGAGAAAACAGAAAAATTCCAATCAGACCAACAATTTAAAATAGGTAGTGAGTTAATTTAGTAAGTTAAGATGACAAAGTAAAAATTGTATTCACGAGGCAATAAAGGTGACTAGGAGAGCTCTAGAAAGTAATGTTTAAAGAAAACCGAGTTCTTAGTTCTGTTATTCAGATACTCAGAAATCCACGTTAGAATTTTAGTAGGAAATCCCAATAAGTTTACTTTCATAGACCGTACTGTACTCGTAGTTGGGCAACTAATCAAATTCACAACTACAAGAATTTTTTCACTTTCACTGGACATTCACCAATCCACATAACAAATGTTGGACCATTTCACATTTAAATACCCCAGGAATCATAAAAGTTTCTTGTTTTTTTTTTTGTAATTTAAATTTAATTTAAAATTTGTATATTTAATATATAAGGTAAATTTAAGCTGATGCATTTCTTATTTATTTTACAATATTTTATTTACACTTTTGGCAATTTTCTTTTATTTTTTTCTAGGAAACTGCGTGGTGCAGCGACCTCATCAGAGTGATCAATTAATACGCGAAGGCAGCAGCAAAAGGGTGTGTAATAATAATAATATATGATACTATGATTAACATTATTCATATAAATTAATATACATATATGTATATATGGCTACAATTGTGTATGGCTACAATTGTTGCATAAGCGTAACTGCCACAAATCGCCGACAATTTACAGCAATTAAAAGGTTTTCATTTGAATAAAACGTGTGGCAAGCTTTTTTCCATCAACAGAGGAGCGCATTTTATTTAACCTTGCTTGTTTTCGAGCAAAGTTCAGAAAGTGTTATTAAAATGCATTTGCATAACTGAAAAGTTTCGCAAACAAAACAAACGAAACAACTTTCAGTTGCAGCCCAACAAGTTGAAGGTGTGTGTGCGAGTGTATTTGTGTGTGTGTGTGCCTCGCTTACGTGTCGGCACGTGCCCCAACGAAAAGATATTACCACATTTAACAACGTCATAAAAAAGAGGCTATGGAAACGCATACACAACACAACAATATGTGCAAAAAAAAAAACACGTGAGAATGTTGCAGTTGCAGGGCGTAACCGACAGTGAAATACCCTGATACTAATAAGTAAATGGAATAACCGGTATTATGAATAAGCCTCTTTTAAGAAAAGTGAGAAAGAAAAAACCATAAAGTTATTTACAGGTTTCAATTTATTCAAATTTAATTAAAATTAAAAGAAAAAAATTAAGTTTAAAGTAAGGAAAGTAAAGAAAATGAACAAACGATATAATGGCACCACTTTTCAAATGTGCATTTATAATTATGAAAACTAGAAATAAATAAACGATTTTAATAAAGAATGTGTAAGTGGTGCAATTATTTGTTCCCTGCTTTACACTTATACCTTCAAGTAAAAAATATGTATATTGAAAAGAATTCGAGGAAGAATTCGTACTAACTTTAGCTTTTAGGGGAATACTAAATAATTTAAATTAAAAAACAGCATTTGAAAAATTGTAAAATTTATGGTTTATTTTATTTTCAATCGTAAGAAAATATGTCTTAGTGGTGCTATAATTTTTTTGGTCCTGTATGTAGCTTAATCGATCTGAGGCTATCGAATATTTATCGTTTTCCCAACATTCTAGTAGACGTAGCACACCAAATAACATTTTGTCCGACCCAGGCACAGACAAGTATATGTTGCAAGTTTCAGGGCTTTAACTTCAGACGGGCAAACAACATGATAGATATTGCACAAAGCCAATATACTCATTTGTGCCTTCGGTAACAGTGTACAATAAACATAAATAAGAGAAGTGCACTTTGGCCACTTTTCTTTTCACTAGCCAACAACAGCAGTTTTGTGGCAAGTGCAATGCAATTAGTGCCAAATTGCCGTCTACCTCCTGCAACATCGAGGCATATGCGTAATGTAATGCCTGCCACATGCGACGAACCGTCTTGGCCCGATAAATTTTGCCGAGTACCCCGACTAAAACTTCTTACATATTTACTTTATTTTGCAGATCTACTCATTGGACGATGCCGAATGCAGCGAACTGTGCAGCTGTGGCGACTCCCTCACCCTCACCTGCCACGCCCTCTGCGTCCCCTTCGCTCCCTGCCGCACAGCGCTGGCATTCTACAGTCACGCTTCGCCGGCTTATCAGGCGTTTCGTGGCCGTTGCCTCTGCTACTCGGGACGTTTCATCTGCATGAAGCCGCCGCTCGGGGACTACATTCTGCCAGGTGAGTTGCAACCAAATAGTCACCTACACTCAAAAAAAAAAAAAATAATAAATCAGCCCTGAATCTAACTCACCCTATCATTCAGAAGGTATATTTCTAAAAATCAGGATTTTTCTCTTTTATTTTATTAGTAAACTAGTATATTATTATATTATATTTGAAATGGTTTATAAATTCAAATAATTTAATTTGAAAAAAAACTTACTTACGTTTTTCTAGAATTCACTATATTATCTAAGATAGCCTTTATAATTTTTAGACATTTCTACTTACATTTCGAAATTAATCCTCAGGAAAAACTCGCTAGGTATCAGGCGATTTTTTCAAATTCGGTTCGATTTATTTCTGAGTGCACCCAGCCAGTCAGTCATCCAGTTATCCAACTACAGTAGTTACCGTTCGTTTGATGCGTCGTCACTTCCATTATATGCTGAAGCATAAATTTCATTGCTGTGTGTGTGTTTATGTGTGTGTGTTTTGCCTTTCTGAAAGTAGTCTGTTAGCCATTTGCCGTTGAGCACTTTACGATTATCGCCGGCGACAGGCCAAATGACGGAAGAGGAGCGTAGCTGACACAAGTCTGCTCCATTTTGCCAGACAGTTCCCTCCGGGATTAACGCTAACAATATTTTAAAAGAACAGCCCTTGGCTGATGCTATATTCTTATGGCAGACCAGACCAAGCCAGGCCAGCCAGCTGCACTTTGTCGTTACTTTATGTCCGATTCAAAAAAAAAAACGAGATTGTCCAAGGTTGAGTATTGGTCTAGTCTTCATGCCGAACACATCTGTTTCTTGGAGTCGTCGTGTAAATCATGCATTTCACATTTGCTGAGATTTATGGCAAACTCTCCCTCTCTCTATCTCTCTCATTGCAGGTGGAATCTTTCTGCTGTTGGGTTACAGTGCCGCAGACGAGGCCCTATTGCGACCCCATACCAATCTGGGGGTCCAAGATGCTGTGCGTGCTTTGCAACAATACGTGACAACCTACATCAATAATCAGGTGAGTCAGCGGCAGTAGAGTTAAGCTCCCCTTCCGATTTGGGGCTATTTTATGTATTAATTGTAATTTTTCTGGATACTCTGATGCCGAAGGTATAAAAGATTATATTGGGTTTGAAGCTGTAGCTCTGAATCAAATATTTATGTTGTTTTCTTTCTCACTTTTTAAGTGGTCGGTCAATTCTTAAAAGTTCCCTAAATTTAGAAATTAAAAAAAAAACCTTAGCACTTTATCTTAATAAAAATAAATCCAAAAACAAGAAAGTTCTAAAAAATTTGTTTATTTATTTTTTTGCGAATTGCAGACCCAGTGCACACTGACGCTGTTCAATATGACCGAGGAGAACATAATAATTGCCGCTCGGCTGCCACACGATGGCAAATTGAAGGACATTGAACTGCTTCGCAGGGAAAAGGTTTGTATTTGATATTATTATTATTATTATTAATATTATTATTACTATTATTATTATCAATAATAATACTATTATTATTATTATTATTATTATTTGCAGGATGAATGCACCGCGATACTGAAGACGATCAGTCACCATATCAACACCGAGCACAATGAGCTCCAATCCCACCGACTGTTGAGCATTTTCAAAATGTCCGAGGTGGATGTTGTCTGGCCGGAAAGTACGAGTGCCGCTCGAAGTGGCCAGACAGCAGCAGGCAATCGCCTGTTATCGCTGCTCCTGCTCCTGGCCCTGACAGTCACCGTCCATTGTGCGTCCGCGCTGCGTATGAGTAATGTTTTTGCGATGACGTCGACAACATGACAAAGCAGTTGAAACTGCAACGGAAATTGTATGTAGCTTAACTTGTAAGGTGATTGCTGGGTTTGGGATTCTGGGGTACACAAAATGTGGCATTTTGGAGCTGTGAGCGGTGCTCACTAAATACGATGATAAACTAACGTAAAAATACTTATATACATAGCGCACATAGGAAAAGCAAAAAAAGAAGAAAAAAATAAATAATAATATATAGTTGTATGTAGCTACCAGAAGAAAACAAAAACAAAAAAACCTATCGAATATTCAGCAGCATTAAATGTTAGTTAAGCTGGGCTTACACATAATGGCGAAGAGTACTGCTAGATACGCGTGAACATCTGACAGATTGCAACGCTTTCGCCAGAGATTATCGCTCGTATCTAAACACATAATCTGAGATATATGGCTGCAAGCTGCAAGAGACACACCAGAAGATTTTCACACTTGCAATTTTAAATGGAACAACAGAAAAATAAATATGATCTCCTGTCAGATCTCTTTGGCGCCAAAGGCTCCTCACTATTTTATTCGGAAAGAATGTGGCTTTCTAAAACCGGTGTTTACATTTCTACATTTCTGAGTAGATTTTTCTTAAATTTAAAAAAAAATATGTCTAATTTCCAGGGTCTTGTTTTCAATTACGGTTTGCAATGTTATTCTTAATCACACAAATGATTTCTAATAAAATAGCAATAAAGTCGCCATATTTTTTTCCAATATTTTGAAATTATTTCAACTTTTTATTGCGATTTTCATTCTAGGGCAATTTTCTAAAACTAAATACGTCGTCGTCTGAGTGTATGCATAAAAACCAATATACTCTCTCTGGGCGAACGATTTTCTAACCCATTGTCCGTTATTTTATATTCATTTTTTCTTGGCTCCTAAATGCACTAAAAATGTGGCCATAGTTAAAATGTAAAAATTAAGCAGCCTAGCCAAATATAATTTAATACATTTTGAGTTACCAGATAGTGTAAATACCCTTACCAGTGTGTGTGAACATTGGTCTCTATCTGCAGAGTTGTCACTGCAACATTTAATATGCAATTTCTAGCCGAAACATATAATATATTGCAGCACTGACAGCATGTGTAAGCCCGTATTTTGACTCAAATATCCAGCAGCATTAAATGTGAGTTAGAGAGTAGAGTTCGGCATCTACATATACGTATAAACATATAAAATAAAAAATTAGCAAAATGTGTTGTATACTTTTAGGATGATATTGGCAGATATTTGGGGCGCTTTATTGTTAACTTGCAGATACGATCTTACTTTTTGATACGTACTAAAAGTAATAAGATACACCAATCGAATAACGATAACGAGAACGATTAACTTTAAATATACTCAGAAGTGAATGAAATGAAACTGCTGTCTAAATAATAATTATATTAAAACTATTGGAATATATATATCTACTTACTTATAATGATATTAGAGCAAAAAATATATTCATAATGAAGATAATTGAAAAATTGAGTAAAATAAAGGGTGTGTAAATAGACTTGGTAAGCACTGTAAAGTTGACATTTCATGCATACATCAAAATATGTATGTAAAGTTGACATTTAATGCATACATCAAAATATGCATAAAAGTAGCTAGTGTTTTATACAATAAAAGGTATTCAATGTATTCATCAACTTACTCACATTCCAACACTCATTATCATCGCCAAGTCCACAGCTCCGAGTTAATTTATTATTTATTTTTATTTTTGACACAGTTAACTGCCAAGTATTAATTGATTGACTTTTTAATTAATGTTTTCAATTTATTGGCCATATCTTTGATAAGTACTTCTCTGCAAGTATTATTTATAATATTTTTTACTTTTCCAAGATCGCGACTTAAAATTTAATTTTATATACACATTTAAATGCCAAAAATTATTTTTTTGTATTCCATTTTTTAACTTTTAAAGTATTTGTTAATATTTTTGATAAGTAATTCCTTGAAATTATTCAAACGCATAAGCAGAGTTATCGCTTTCGAATTTCATTTTTACAATCTTCTATATTACTTAATTCTTCGCTTAAAATTTAAAACATCAGTTCAAACACAATTAAATGCTTAATATAAATTGATTGAATTTTCAATTAATTCCACTATTTGTAACGGTGATAGAAATTTTTTTGATTAGTTCTTCCTTGCAAGTAATCAAACGAATAGACAGATTTATCATTTTTAAATTTCGTTGCTATAAAATTTAATTTTTTTAAATTTGTTACAACATTATCTGCATTACTGACTTTAAGTAATAACTTTACACTTAATTTTTTAATTTTATTTCATTTGCGAACATCTTCCGTGCACATACTGTTTTCACTTCGCATAATTACATATGCACATGCAAAAAATAATTGTTGATTTATTTGAAAAGTTTTTCATACGTTTTTCCTCTACAAATGGCGAGGCGCGAAAAGAATTACGGTTTCATTATCAATTATATTTTGCATGGGCGCACACTCTTAAATTATTGCGGTTTTATTACAAAATTTACACTTGAGATAAAAAAGGAATTCATTGCATTTGCTTATTTGTTTTTGCATTTTTTTTTTTTGTCTGTTTCCGCATTTACCTGTATTCATTTTTAAAGAGGTTTCACATTATGCAGCCCTTTGACTTTCTCTTAAACCTTAAATGCTGTAAATAATAATAATTGAGAATAAATTTCGTTTTATAAAATTCAAAATAACAGTACATATCAAAATGAACACCTAAGAAGATATACACAGAGAATGAGTACGAGTATGAACTAATCCCATTTGTATATACCTCTATATACATATAATATATACATAAGTATTAACTGCAAGCAAAACATATTAAATACAAAAAATATATATATGAAATATCCTTACAGCAAAAATCAATAGCGAACTTCAGTTGCGCCTTCAAAGTTTTGTAAATACGAATAGTAAAACTAAATTCAAAAATTCTATGAATATATATTGTGAGTTTTCGAGTCACTCCCACAAACACAGACTCACACTCACTTTAAGCCTAAGCTTGACCATTAAGCAAACACACATTTCACGCACACACACAATAAGATGTGTAAAGTGTAAAGAGTGCGCTGAAGAAATGGTCACAATCATGAAAAAATGTCTTCCTTAATGCATATACATGACGATATGTGTTACATATACATACATATTTATATAAATATACTCGTATACCTAAATACATATATACTACCTATATACGTTATAACGCTATTGGTGCACCCTAGCCTACGCTTCAGTTAGTGAATAATAGACAAACAAAAATTATTAAAAAAATATGATTACAATTATCGAATAACTTGTTGACACTATTAAAGCAAATAGTAAAAAATTAAAAAAAAATAAATATCTTACACCAGCAAAAATACATATGCATATAAGAGGTTTAAACCCCAAACAATATATATATATATATATATATATATATATACAACCTATAAAAAGATATACTTATGTACCAAAATAAAAAATACTCAACCTATGTTCGAGCATTGCACTTGAATAGTTCCCTAAGCGACCTTTAATCGATGAGAGAACTTGCTTATTAAAAAGCTTGTAGCCCACTTATAATTAGACGAATTTAAATAAAATAAAAGCAGTTGTCAGTAGTAGCTGCAATCTAAATGATGAAATTACTTTCAATTTTAAAAAGGTTACACAGAACACTAGCACAACTAATCTTCTGATATCTGCATATATATCTACATATATACAGTTGGAAAAAAATAATAGCATACTCAAATATTTTCAAATATTTTTTTTAATTTATATGTTTAAGGAACTTATGAATACGTTTTTAGAAGTGGAAGACGACTCTAAACCAACAATCTGTTAGTCAAAACTTAATTTTTCCCCGCTTTCAACCTATTTAAATTTAAATAAAATTCAAATGAAGAACAAAAAAAATGTTATGTAAGCGTAAGAAAATTGAGTAATTAATTAGTATACCCCAATAAGAAAATTAAGGAAAAAAATAAATAGCACCACTTTTCAAATGTGCACATTCCATGAGCAGTAGAGGAAATACTAAATAATATATGTTGAAAATCATAATTTGAAAAAAAATTAAAACTAATTGTTTTGTTTTCTCATTCGTAAGAAAATGTCAGAGTGGTGCAATTATTTTTTTTTAGAACTGTATATATATATATATATATATATATATATACATAGGTATGTATATCAATCCGCTTTAGCCAATCGATTATTGTTTGTGTATCTCTTACTTTGTGCTCTTTGGGGCAACACAGCACAAGGCGTAGCTACAATGTAAAGTACCGTTGAAAAGAAATAAAAATTATAATAAATAAATAATTCTCTACTATTAAGGATGAGGTACAACACATAGAAAATGTAGTCAGAGAATCAATGTTAGAAAATGGGGGTAAAAAAAACACATAATATATGCATGAGGAATATTCCGTAATACTCCGTGAGTTTTCAAATAAGTTGAGGAAGTCAAGTTCCCGTCGACAGCAAACTAAACACGGAACACCATATAAATATGTATGTATATATATATATATATATATATATATATATATACATATATATATATATTTGTATTTATATTTATATATATATTTATTAATATAAATATGGAATGTACTTAAGTAAGAGATAAACACATACAGATGTGTGTATGTATTACTATGTCAAGGGCTTTTTGTATTGTACAACATGTGAACCAAAGTCCCAGGATGCAAAGCCCAACCATAAGTGAGCCGTGGCATATTTATAATGAAAACTATAAAAAAAAGAAAGATAAAAACAAAAGCGTTGTAAAAGGAACAAAAGCAAAAAATAATAATAATAATAAAAGTATGAGAAAAAATTGATTGCTTATATCTAGAATTGTGGACAAGTAAGTATTAACAAAAATATAAATAAAAAATATATTTTTGTATGTCCCTGAGCAGCTAATTACAATTAATTAATTGATTTATTTAATTACAATTTTTGGGCTATCTGCAAGTTGAGAAAAATTTCCACTTGTTTTTGCAACAACGAGAGCAAAAAAAATCAAGTTGGAAAAATAAATGCGCTGGTTGTTTATTTCGAGACTTGTGCACATGTAAGTATTAGCGAAAATAAAAAATATAGTTAATTTTTGCTGGCTTGCATTGTATGTAAATTATACCCTGTAAGTCAATGAGTAACTTATTTATA